ATTATTAACATTACAGAATCCACATATTCCTGCCAGTTTTAATATGTATTTTGTAATCAACAAGTGTGTAACACCGGTCAAAGTTTGACACTTCTCTGGCCATTATCTCCGTAACCGTTCAACTTTGGACATAGGTGTTTTGGGTTATATCGGCATACTTTAACATAAGGAACACCCTCCCGAAGTTTGGTCCATTCCTCCTGGGACACCCTGTATATGTATAAGTCGTTTCCATTTCAGAAGTTCACACATCTGCCATCTTATCATGATAGTATTATGAATGCATCTTCCTGTTGACCACTGTTCCTTAATTTACCTCAGTGGAGCCTCTTTGTGATTACTTATTGCTTTAAGCATTTGCCAGTTAATGGCACAGTGGGTGGAATATGTCATTTTTGGCCTCAATCGCTTTTAAATTATGTTTATTTTGCCCACTGAATGTATTTATATGTTGGTATGATTCCTAGAAAAAATGGTGATTGCTTTTATATGGACTGGTTGACCTTTATAATGGCGACATGGTGTACTTTCTGTTAGGTAGGAACTGAATTTTCTATATTATTTGGATGAGTATCAGGCCTCACAGATAAGAAGAAGAAGTATTGTCACTGGAACTCGTGTACTTTAGGAGGTATTTAAAATTAAATATTTGGTGCATGGATCATTGTTCTAAAACAATACTGACCGGGATGCATGTACTTCTGTATGACTCTTAATGTGAACAATTAAAATTCAGAATTTGGTAAATATCAGAGTGAGCACTGCAAAGTATCGGTGGGAGGGGGTGCTGACGTGCATGTTTCTTCACTGTGCTTACAATTCATCTCTTCCCACTGAAGCTCCAAACTGCAGCAAAGCAGGACGTCTCTGTCTGACGTGCCTTGCTCAGGTCACTTCTCATTTCTGATGGTGTTGACAGGTATGCAGCAGGGTTACCAGGGCCAAGGAGGTTACACTCAGTACCAGGACCAGTATGCAAGGGGAGCTCCAGGGAATATGGGGCAAGAGTTCAACCAGCAGTATCCTCCAAGCACCACATACCCACCAAACAGGCCCATGTACCCACCATATGGGCCGGAAGGAGAGAGGTAAGCCCTCAGCTGTCATCATATTAGGTCTTACACAATTTAAGGGTACCTCCTGTTCTCCTGTTCATTTTGTGAGCCATTTATTTAACCCGTATGTTGCATATTGTTTTCTCCCCATTTTCCTAAAGCAATGCTGTTCTAGGCCAAAAATATGAACGTGCAACAGAAATGCATTTTCATGGCTGAGTGAATGAAGATGACAGTAATAAATTTGATCTTGGGGCATCCCAGTAATTATAGCTTTGTATTTTAGTTTGCATTCATTGGTTTGTTATGTATATTTTAATTGTTATTTATCTTTTATTATTAATTGCTATTGGGGCGGGACTAAGTCCCTTGTACTGCGGCCACTTCTGGCCTATTGTACCAGCCCCAGATGAGAGGTGAGGGTGATTGTGAAACAATTCGTGGAATGAAGATTGGCAGGGGAAACTGAAGTACACAGAGAAAATCTGCCCCACCGCCACTTTGTCCACCACAAATCCCATTTGACCAGACCCAGGATTGAATCTGGGCAGCCAGCGACTAACCGCTTGAGCTATGGCTCAGCCTTATGTTATTTTAAGGCAGTCTTATATGTCAGTGTAATCTTCTGACAACTTCTATACCAATGGTTAAGTACCTGAATTGATTGATGAATGATAATAAAAAATAAATAAATAATTAAATGATGCAGAAAATTTAAGGTGATTATTTCTTGATTTGGACTAAACTGGAATGTCGCGCTGTATGAATGATGCATATGCAACTTCAGTCAGATATCGAAGTAGGGTTAAAGTGGCTTTAATAAAACACAGTAATGCTTGACCCTTTTCCATTCTCAATATTTCCAGCTTCACTCCCGGCTTCCACTAATTAGTTTGTACAATATTAAAAATAAGGTGACTCTTCATAGTGGGAAAATGTAAAATTCCTGCCATCTGTTGTTCCTGTATCCAGACTGCTGGAAGAGATATCAAAGTCTGCAAAGACCAAAGTGGTCATAATGTATTAAATTTGTGAAGTTGGTGTCAAAGACATTCAACTTTGAATCTGTGCAGGAAAATTGCAGTGTTGAATGGGTTCTGACAGAGACCTGGAAAAAGTTGAAACACCTTCCATTGAATCTAGGTACAATCAAGGTGGTGCAAGCAGTCAGCCATCTCCAAGCTTGCAACAAGGTAGTGGACAAGACCCATACAATAGATACATGGGGCCTGCTCAGCCCCCTGGGTACCCACCACGCACAGGATATGGTGGACCTCCTGGACCACCTTCAGGGCCACCCAGCCAACAGCAGTCTGTACCCTCCGCAGGGTACCCTGGTCAGCAAGACTATTATCGGCAGGATCAGGTAAGCGTCAGCAACTTGGCTGGTTGGAATGCTTTCTTAGAGGTATGCAAGCATGCCACATGGCTGCCACATCACTGCTGCAGTAATTGCAAATTACCGTTTTTGGCAGTATCGTGCTAGATGCCTGATATGGATATTATAAACCAAGATTATTCCAACTTTTTAGAGGTCTTCTTAAGCATCTTCGTCTTTGAGTAGACATTTTATAATGTTTGGGGATGCTACTAGAACATGGCCTTTCAGTAGCTTTCATTCTAACTTCTTCTGTAGTTACCAGAACTTTGTAGCTCTGTTAGTGCAAGTGTGAGATTGTGTAATGTGTCATTGTTTGAATTCATGGAGACAGTTTGCACTTTGTCCAAAAGATCACTTGTTGATTGAAGCATTCACTGTTAAACTTAGTCTTCTGTGACATAACAGTATATGTTCATTCAAAACATGTGTATCAATTTTTATGTTTAGTTTTTCACAGTTGTAATCTGTAACCTTATTTATCATCACAGTACATTATTGTGATGTTGAACACAGTGATATCAACGTATCAAACCACACAGTGTTGTACTTTCAACATTCACCGCTATTAGAACTTCAATTCTTAAAGCACTTTTTAATCCACACTGTAGCAGTCTATTGATGTAAGTTCCAAAATATATCCAAATGTTACTAAATAGATTAAATAGGTCAGTATCTTGTTCAAACTGATCTGTAGTGCTACCGATTTCTAGACTTCAAAAATGCAGTGGAACCCCCATTCATTTTGCCGTAATTTAGGGGTTTCTCTCGTTCAACATTCAGTTTTGGGAATCACAGGTCATTGAATACAGCATCAAATTACACCCATATCAGATTTTCCTGTCTTCGTTTTGCTCCTCAAAGAAATCTTAAATAGGGTTGATACTGTATACATGCAAGAGCAGTGACTGGTTTTATATGCTTGCAGTTTGGACAGGTTTATGTGCATGGTTGTTCATTGTGGTTGGCAGCCATGCACCAATCCATGCTTGCACACATTCATTTTAGCATTTGTCTCTTACAGGGCAAAGCATGATTTATTGTCATTTACTTACAAATAATGTGGGGAGGTACTTATTTCTGTAGACATATTCTGTAGTGTTGTTGAATGTCTCTCAGGGATATTTTCGTGTTTTCTTTGATACAGTAGTTACATTCCTTAAGTTGTAAAAGTGTGAGTGTTGGGGAGTACAAGGTAACAGTTCCTATAGGAGTGACTCCTAAGTAACTCACACAGAAATGGTAGATACCCAGACTTTGAACTCTTCAGTTGTATTCAGTCATTAAGCTAGAAAATTTACTTCAATTCATACCTTGATAGCTGTTTTCTTGGAAACCCCATAAAATTTTGAAAGTACAGTAAACACTTGCTAATCCTGTTATGATTACAGATTACAGGTTGCAGGTGTTTTGTCTAGCAAGAAAATGGTCACCAGAATATTTTTGAAGTATTTTTTATTATGCAGAAACATAATTTCTTTAATGAATGCCCTTGCTCACCATATCAGTGTGGTGTTGTGCTACTAGCAGTTGCTGGTAAGGATTTCTAATTTTAAATAAAAAAAAAAGTTTATATAAATTATAAATAATAATATAAGGCAAATTGTCTGAGTAACTCTCTTGGTCTGGATCTGGTCTGTCAACCATAGTTTGCTGACCTTACAGAGTAAATAATTTCACAGATAGACATTCACAGTAATCCCCCATACCAATGAAACACATAAGGACCTTATCAGTTCATGACTGTCCCAACAGAATCTGTTTCCTAGGTTTTGTCGGTTTCCTGGTTGGTAAAGAGTTCAGTATGAGTTCATGAGCCATTCCAGACTGGCACAGTACTCATCCAACACTTACTCCTTTTTGTNTACTACTACTACTACTATTATTATTATCTGGCCTCTAGTAAAAGCTTAAGTTGTAACTTTTACTCTAATCGTAATGTTGATTTTGTAGATGTCCCAGTCTGTTAGTTTCTCGACTTCGCAGCTTGCTCGCCAGCTTGTGGCACCCCAATCCCCCATCAAATCTTCATATCAAGTACGTTTTAGATTCATCTTAAATAAAATTTGGTTCTAACCATAAGCAGTGGTGGTCTGACTAACCCACGGGAGAATGGGGTCTGCTGCATGATGTCTTGGTAGTTTTAGCTGCTCGAGTAGATACACTCTCCATGCTGATGCAATGACCTGAGTTATTTATTGGGTATTTCAAAGCCAGTGTGCTGTTTATTTTTGTTGTGATAATAAGTGATGTTTTGTGTTTGTAATTTGCTTGGACTTCTAAAGATTTAAAAGTAAAAGCCAAAAGAGGAGTGGGGGCAGGGAAGGATTGGAACATCTACTACAATCTGTCGCCTTTGTATCAAGGTATAGTGCCAGTCTTTCTCAACCTCTGCATTGGATGGAACTGAATGGTTAACATCACATCCCAGCCACAAGAGCCCCCATTACCCATGGAATAGGAGTCTAGATGGACCCCTTAACCAGTTTGGAAATAATAGTGAAAAGTCTGCCCCTGCCAGGAATCAAACCCCAGTGCTCCAGTCATCTAGCATGTTGCCAGTCACTGTACAGACTGGTTGCTGCATGACTCATAATTAAATAAGATCTGAAAGTTTGAGGATGGTATATTAATACAACTATTGTGTTTCTGGACATTATCCATTGTTCTGTTTTTATTTAAAACAGGTCGTTTTGGATACTGGATTCTGTCCTTTTCTTGGGGTGGAACATACTCAGTTGGGTCCAATCGATAGAGCTAGTCCATATAATTAAATGTCTAGAACATAAAATATTTAGTATTCTTAGTTCTAAATTTGTCCATGAAACATTGCACAATCCTTGTTTAATATTTCTCATTTTAAGGGGTTTTCTCGATTTCACAATATCTGTGGCCCCTGTCCAGACATATTGGCATTACCATATTTACACACAACTGGAAATTTGTTGTGCCCATTTTGTCCCAAGGGTCAGCCTTTTGAAGACTTTTTTCTTTGACATTGTACGTCTGAGTAAATTTATCTCGTACATGTTGACTAAACTGTTTTCCATGTCCCTGTGGCTGTAAGCTGGGTGTATAGGGTTTTATTTCCAGTAGGGCGGAGGTTTATGTACTCTTCACCACATCTAGACCACCTCTTGAGGCACACCCAGCTTCCTGTCCAGTGGGTACTGGGAGTTCAGTGCTGAGGTGCTGAGGTTAGCAGTGTGTGCAGCTGTGCTTCCACTCCCCCATATGTCTATTTGACATTTACACCTCTTGCCCTAATATCTGAAATTACATATGGAAATGTCAATGCCCAGAAACTTTTAAAAGTCTATTGCACTAGTTGCTAGGGGTTTGGTGAAAGTAAAATTAAGTTGAATACATCTGAGGTATGAGGTTCTCATAGCAGAGAATGATCTTCTGGGGTGTTATGTAATCCGGTAGATTGTCACCGTTGTTTCAGAGGAACCTGATGCCTCCAGATTTAAAGTAAAGTCCTGAAGATTGAGGCAGAAGGTTCCCCTGAAACTGTAACCATCTGCCATACTGCAAGGTGTTAAATCCTAGAAGACTTGCAGTCTGGTTGATACATCTGGTGTACATCATACTGGCCCTTCGCATTCTTCTAAACCTATCATGAAACTGTCAGGTGAGGCCCCCTTCTGCATTTCCTTCTGTGCTTTTGTAGAAGAAAACATGTACTGGAAACATGACGAGCATGAGCATGTTGAGACGTGGGTTCATGTCCTTGGTTTTGTAGCGTGTAGTGGGTAATGTTTGTGTTCCTTTCTATACCTTTTCACTCTTGGCCTAAAAGTTTCATAATACAGGCTATGTATTGAACTGTTGAACGCATGTATGGTAATGTAACATGCTGCTGTTAAAAGGGTTATTCCTTAAAACCTGAGTTCCTAACTCAGTGACCAGCCAAATGCCAGGTCAGAGGTGAAGCCCATAACTTAGAGATGTGGTAATGCGCTGCCTAGTCAGGGGTAGCAGTGGATAAGTGAGGAACATTGGAGAAGAAAACAATTCGCATGCCACTTGATCCTGTATATGAGCTCAGCTGGGATGGAACACAAGTCTCCACTGTGAGAAACTAGTGTCTGAACTGCCTGAGCTTTAACATTGTCTGATTTCATCTGCTCTTTGATACAAGTTTTAATTCTGAGGATGAGGAGTTGGATGCGAGAGTGCCATAAATCCAGAACTAACACACTTTTTTGTAAAGAGCAATACTTGTCAGGAACAGGTTAGAGCATGTTCACCTGTGCTGGTAGTTTACTGTTAGACTGTGTTGTAGTTCTATCTCATGCTTTGTCTTTTGCAGAGTGGAAAATCCATTCACCACAGAATCTATCATCATTTTGTTGTGAGCTTTGTGCTCTGTTGTGTCCTTACCTCCCATTCTCTCCCCACCACATACTTTTCTGTTTTACTATGAGATTTGACCATCTTCATCAGTAGCGTGGTGATCAATGAATGATTGAAATTGTATTTAGGGCAAATTGGTTTGTTTAACAGCAAGTTTACCCTGGTCAGCAGCCCCCTGCTGCAGGAGGTCCTGGCACGCAGATGTATCCTGGAAGTCCACCCAGTAAGACCATGCCACCACCAGCACAGCATCCTCGGAGGCATCCGGACTTTGCAAAGGAACAACAGCCTTATCCACCATACCAGCAGAGGCCCGCTCTGTATGGTAAGTTTTTTTAACGTTAACTTAAGGGGTTTTGAGGTACCTTATTATGCTGTGGTTGCAACATCTGTATGGCTGTGTCGACATCAGGTAGTTACATAGGTTGATAATTATCATCAGAGAGTTATTAGATGCTATTTTAAATGTATGATAAGTAGGGCCCGGAGTTTTTGAAAATGCATACGCGCATATGCAAATGCATATTTTGAGGGTTTTTGGTCATTATTGCATATTCTAATCATAAGAGCATATTTCTGCATATATGTTTGAAATTAAGGATAATTAAGGATGAGACAACTGACTTATGTGGCCGATGCATAGCAAATTTCGTAGTTGTTAAGCTACATCCAGACGAACCTGGCAAACCTCATCTTGCTTGCAAAGTACTAGAGAAAACAACCTTAGCACAATAGCAAGATTTGTACATGATTCTCTATGACTACTATGGCCATCTGAAATTGAGAATAATTGGTGTAAGGTGCTTGTATTACTCACAGATGCAGCTTCCTATATGTTGAAAGCAGCAAAGGGCTTACAAGTATTTTATCCACATCTTATACACGTAACCTGTTTAGCGCACTGATTACACTGTATTGCAGAAAAGTAGGCGCACAGTTTCCAGCTGTTAATGATTTAATTGCAAGTGGGAAAAAACTGTTTCTGAAAGCACCAGCTCGTGTCCAGTTGTACAAAGATTGCGTACCTCAGGTTCCTCTGCCACCTGAACCTGTCCTAACTGGGGGGGGGGACATGGTTATCTGCAGTTTAATTTTATCAGGAGAATTTCAGTCAAATAAAAGAAGTGGTTACAAAACCTGAAGATGAGTACGCATGTGTCCGTGAAGCAAAAGTGGTGTTTGGAAGTGATACTGTTTATCAAGATGTGAATTTTATCCATGCACATTTTCTACATTTCATTGAGCTACATTACATTGAGAGCTTAGAATCTTGTGGTGCACTCCTTCACGACTCACTTGAACTCGTTCAGAAAGCAACTTGTTCACTGAATTCCACTCCAGGCGAAATTGGAGACAAGATTAAATGCAAGTTAGAAATTGTGTTGAATTCAAACCCAGGGCTAAAAAAGTTTCAGTCAGTTAGTCGGTACTTGAGTGGAATTAGGGTATCTTTGCCAGATGAATGTTCCTAACCTTTGGTGCCAGTGTATAAATACTGTCCAATCAAGCCAGTTGATGTAGAAAGATCATTCTCAGCCTATAAACTCATTTTGATGGACAATAGACGAAGTTTGTCTCCAGAAAACACTGAAAGGCTTCCAGTTGCCTATTTGTGATGCTACTTTCTGCAGTGAATGATACATGTAAATAGGTTAGTCTGAATGAAGTGACCTGTTTCTTAAGTGCATATTGTTTTATTTTTGGTGCATATTTTCCCGCTTTTTGGCGCATATTTTAAGTGTTTTTAGCGCATAAAGATCTGGTCCCTGATGATAAGAATGTAAATCACCGTACTGGAAGTCTGCAGTATGGTGAAATAGGATGATCACTGAATAAGAATTTGAAAGGACTTGGAACTACTCAAAGCCTGATTTAAGGTTCTGTCCTGGGAATTTCATGGAGTGTCCAAAAACATATAAAATCCCAGGATTGCTCGTCTCTCAGCAGATATGTATCTGGAACCTCCAAATATAAAACAAGATTAGTAACTGTTGACATAGGTGATTAATTGCATGCTTCACCTCGCCCCTTTACTTGCCATTGGGAGTACATGAGTTTAGAAGGAGAACAGCTCACCCACATAACACGATTTGTTCTTTTCAGGATGGACAAGCAACAGTTCGTTTCGTGGACCATTCCCTGGTCAGGGCCCTGTGCCCCAGGCATCTCAGCCATGGAACCAGGGTCCTCCTCGGCCAGCTGGACCTCCAAACAATCAACAAGCCAATAACCAGTGGGACCAACACCGCTATCCTTCAGGCACACAACCATCATACCAGACCCCACAGCAGGTCTGTTATTGCATTATTGAACAGGAAATTGTAAAGGATAGCATAGGTCTCTTTGCTAGAAAGTTATAGGTCTGTTTCTGTTTTGAAGGAAACAGTTTAACGCTTTAAAGCACAGTGACTACAGTTACATACCACATACTTTAAAATTCAGAAACTCTTCATTTTGCCCACACTGTATTTTTGTGTTTTGTATTATTCTCCAAAGAACAGTTATTATTCCCGTAAATGACATTAACCAAATGATTTTTATAGTGGAAATTCAGTTTGTTTTCTGTGAAGTAAGAACTGAAATTTTAAATATGGTTAATTCCACTTTCAGTGTTTCTGTGGGGAGAAGTAGTTTTTGACACTGAACTGAGAAAAATCTTAAATGGAGGCACTTCAAAACAGATTTTTCTGAGGATCATTGAAATTGAATGAGGGAAACCCCGTATGTTGCTGGGTCTTCACACAGTGAAAATAAAAGACATCAGAATTTAGATGAACAGTGGAAAGAGTACAGTTTTAACATACTTTAATTGATAGCAAAAACTTAACCAATTTTTTACCGAGTAATTCAAAGTTCATTCCATTTGCATGTATTCTTTCAGCCCCAACAATGGGTATCTAATATGCCATCATCTGGAGTTGGACCAAGTTCCCCACTCCGACCACCTGTTGGCCCACGAACACAGTTCAGGCCAGAAGGGAAGCCTTTCCCAATGCCAGCTCCTCCAGGGACAAAGGTATGCAAATCTCCCAAAGTGTATTGGTTGATCATAGGATCCCAAGACCCTCTCTTTCTGTGCTAGATATGCTGCAATTTCTTTGATCCTATCTTTTAACTTGTTTATTTTAGTTTCTTCTGGAGTGTTATATAAACACTGACAATAATTCTTTAATTTCTTTTGTGGTTGAAAATTGTGTAACCTGTTGTTTCTTTAAATGTATTTCAGCTGTTGCTACTATGTCATCAGACCTTATGGTCAAGCTGTCATAGTGTCTCATGAAACAGTGTTTCTTAACAGAAGGATTTGTCTAACTGGTGGGATGAAATGGTTGGGTGGATCGTGAGGTCTCGAAAATAAGACCTTATGTTGATGATGTAATATTAAAATATACATAATTGTCAGTTTATATCTCAGGAAAAGAGAAGCCCTCTTTTTACTGAAATGACCATTACAGTGCAAGATGAAAAATTTGAGACTGACTTCCATAAATGATGTTGGCATGGCTTACAGGTTCTGTATCTTTGTTTTTCAGGGCCAGACTCCCAACGTGGCTGGCAGTACGGCAGCATATCCCCCTCAGGCTCCCCCAAAACGTGAGCTTGTATTTCCACCTGACAGTGTGGAGGCTACAGTTCCAGTGTTATACAAGCGCAAGAGGATGTCTCGTGGTGACGTAGCACCTGTCGAGGCCTGGAGATTGATGATGAGCTTGCGCTCTGGCCTTCTGGCAGAGAGCTGTTGGGCACTTGATGTCCTCAACATCCTGTTGTTTGATGATTCGACAGTAGCTTACTTCGGCCTGGCTCACTTGCCAGGTCTGCTCGATGTACTGCTCGAACACTTTAGGCGCAGCCTGGCTGACATGTTTGATGCCCCTTCCAACACAGACACCGATCGAAAGTGGTACGAGGTCCCAAAGACAGATCACAATGAAGTTGATTTGGGTTCGGTGAATCAACCAGTTGATCCTCTGGATCGGGTGACTCTGCTTGAAACCACCACCAATTACACCTTGTTGTCACGGAAGGGTGATCCCATCAAGGTGATGAACAAAGACAGTGATATATTTGTGCTGGATAGCCGTAAGGCCTGGGATGTGGATGGTGACGTGGCAGAGGAAAACGTAACAGAGATGGACCAGGATCAGTGGCAGATGGTGGTGACTGACAGCAGCTCTACAAAGTACATTGTGACGTGTTTCCAGGGTGAATTTGGCAATGTGTCATTTGTGAGGCTGGTACAGAACAAGAAGGTTGCGGAACAAGAGCAGGTGGTTCCTGGCAGGGAGCAAGGAGAGGAGGAAGTTGCAGTCACCGAGGCCCCAGCACCGCAGCCAGTAGTTGTCGAGAGTGTAAAAACTGAGCAGGATCAAGAGACTTCTGATGCTGGTAGTGAAAAACCTAATGTGATAATTAAAGAGGACAGTGTTAGTAAAGAGTGTGTGGTTGTGACGCCAGGAGAGAGGAAAAACTGTGACAAAAAGAAACGGACTAAAACGTTAATCGGTGTGCTTTCACGAATACAAAAGGAACCAATGGAAGTGAACGATGTGCTGACCAGAGAAATTCGGGAGAAGGTAGAAAAGAATGAAGTGGTGAAGAAGGAAGATGGAAATGAAGAGAAGGCTAACAATAATGATGGGGAAACTGATAAAATGTTGGAAGACAGAGATAAGAAAGATAAAGTAGTAGAAACCACATCTGATGAAACCATGGAAACAAATAGCAACAGCTTGTCACTGGAAAACAGCAACAGCAGCAGCAGTAGCAGTGAGGTTGGGAAGACGAAGAAGGAACTTGATGATGACAGCGGTAAAACTCAGTCATCTGGTGATGATAAGGTGACTGTGAAAGTGGAGAATGTGGACACTAGTTCCAAGAGTCAGGATGATCAGAATGACTGTGGCTCAGGTCTGAGAATCCGGGATCCAGCAGGTACCCTGAAGAGACGTCGAATGTGCGACTATGAGGATGAGTGCTACACCCGGGATGAGGCCAGCCTGTACCTTGTGACAGAGACCCAAGATGCTTTAGCACGGCGATGTGTTTGTCTCTCCAACATACTTCGTAACTTGACATTTGTTCCTGGCAATGAAGTGGAATTTGCCAAGAATGCCACTTTCCTAGGGCTGCTGGGTAAATTGTTGCTGTTGCACCATGAACACCCAGCACGCACACACAAGCAGCGCAACTATGACCGTGAGGAAGACGCTGACTTTGCAGATTCCTGCAGCAGCTTACAGGGGGAGGCTGAGTGGTGGTGGGACTTCCTTCACCACATACGAGAGAATGTACTTGTCACTGCTGCAAACATCGCAGGCCACATGGATCTGGGCCAGTACCCAGAGGAGATCTCACGACCTGTACTGGACGGATTGCTTCATTGGGCGGTTTGCCCTGCAGCCCATGGACAAGACCCTTTCCCCACTGTGGGCCCTTCATCTCCTCTGTCTCCCCAACGACTGGCCCTGGAGGCCTTGTGCAAGCTCTGTGTGACTGACAGCAATGTGGACCTTGTCATAGCCACTCCCCCATACTCGAGGTTGGAGCGTTTATGTGCAGTTCTCACAAAACTGCTTTGTCGCAGTGAAGAGCAGGTACTACGGGAGTTCGCAGTGAACCTGCTGCATTACCTGGCTGCTGCTGACAGCGGCATGGCACGCACTGTGGCGCTGCAGAGTCCTTGCGTGTCTCTGCTGGTGGCCTTCATTGAACAGGCAGAGGCAAGTGCACTGGGTGTGGCCAACCAGCATGGTATTTCAGCCCTGCGTGAGAACCCAGATTCCATGGGCACCAGTCTGGACATGCTGCGCCGTGCAGCCGGCACACTGTTACACCTTGCTCGTCATCCTGACAACCGCCCTCTCTTCCTGCAGCAAGAGCAGCGGCTCCTGGCTCTGGTAATGAGCCAGATCCTCGATCAGCAGGTGGCCTCCATCATCTCACGCGTACTCTTCCAGTGTTCGCGGCCGCATCCTGAGCACATCCACTTCAGTTCTCTGCGCTCGTGCGTCTCCTCGTAGTGAACAGGTGGGAAGGTCAGCAATGTAGGGGTTCCAGATACTTTGGTTTTACTGTCCAAATGGGGCTTAGACTTGACAGTTGGAAACTGTCTGTTGCATCGACAGGTACAGTGCGACAGAGTGGACAAACTGTCTTAAAGCAAGTGCTATGTGGCTCCACGATATTGGAGCAGATTATAAAGGTGTTGGATTGCAGCTAAGAAAATGTTGATGAGTATAGTAATAAGATTGACAGATCTCTCATTGAAGATACAAAGAAAGAATTCCCTGCAATCGCTAAGCAGGTCTTGATATTTTGTAGATAGGGGGGAATGAAGACTCTTCGGTAGCATCTTGAATCGTTAGGATTTTTGCAATCTGTATAAAGAATTATCACATATGAATTTGTGATCTTTCCAAGAGCTGAGTCTCCAGTTTTTCAGTCTTAGTGCAAGTAAGAAAACTTACTGCCTTGCCTTGTGAGTTATGTTCTCTTGTGTAATTGTGAAGGTGTGCGTGATATAGTATTTGCTGCAACCTTAACCATGTACAAACAATACAAGCTGGAGACAGTCTGGGAAGTGAGGAGGTGCGGGGTTGATATTACGAGACTGAATATACCACTTCCAGCAGACATGCTGAAACTTTACATAGTAATTAGCTTCGTAGATGGACAGGAGATTTATTTTTACCTTGTGGGAAATCAATGTGACAAGTTTGGAGGTAAGTTGATTTGCAGATAATGGTCCAGGTGGGGTTCCCTCTCATTCTTGGACCACTTGGGTACAGGAAAGTAACTGTCACAATTTTGGATCATGACCTGCTCTGATCAAAAATGATGAGTTCTGACAGAACAGACTGAGCATGTGGTTTTTAAAGATGAGGCCTCCATAAAATATTGAACATACACAAATATAAAAGGATTAGATTCTCCATAGAATAAGAACACAAAACTTAGTTACTGAATTGTACCATTTTGTAAAGTGCAGCGAGTTGCCAACACGTCAAAAAAAAAGTATAAAAAAAGGACTTCTGTGTTACTTGTAATACCGATTTGAATGATCACTGTATTTATTATTTTGATTCTTAACTCTACCATGAAATAGTTTTCATGCAAAGAGTGCGGACACGTGTGAACAAGACAAAGCGCAACAGGTCTGATGGGTGGGTGGATTATGGAATTTCTCTAAAAGAAACAAATGTATAGCCCTTCCTATCTGCTGATATTCTTCACTGGAATTGTCAGGCCCACCCTCCCAAGCTACGTATCCCTTTCAGCCTCCCCACTAGGTTGCCCTTGGTCCTCATTTCATATTTGGTATTTACTTGTGCAAATGCTTTATATATGTCTGAATACTGAAAAATCAGAAATAAATGTACATAAGAAGTACTAAATAATATGTGATATTTAATGTTAAGTAATACATTGTAGGGTGTGGTGAACTCTGGTTTGCTTCTTGACTTGTCCCATGCCAATCCACCTTCCCTCTTCTCCATACCCCGAGGTTCACCAATCTTTACATTGGTTGCTTGTAGTTTTGACTCACAAGGGAGTAATCCTAAGTGTGCAATTATCATCAACCAGTCAACGCTTTCGAGCTGACACCCTTAGATTTATGGGCTAAGAATTAACCCCCTTGTATACTAATAATAGGCGGAGTTTGTGAACATAGTAGAACAGATCTACCTCAACACGTCTGACTCAGTCTTCCCTATACGGTTTTACCATTTTGAGCACTTAACTGGGATTCACGAAGTAAGCTGACTACTTTGAGTAACCCATATTTGGCAATTTATAAAGTTATTTGTCTGATGTGGACTGTTTCTTCTTCATGAAGTATGCGTGACTTGAATGAATCAAGATGTATGAAGTATATTAAAGCTGTGAATAGTCTGCTGACGTACCAGCATTGAAATATGCAGTGGAACTATATTTTCGTTTCTTTGGAAAAGTGGAAGTGATGTGCAGTGCATCATAGAATGATTCTCTTGCCATCTGTTGGTGATGATGTGAAATACATAGTCTACATTATTTGAAGAGTGATAACAAATCTGCCTGTCCATCAGACCAAGATTTCTTTGAGGAGCCATGGATGTGAACACTAAACTGAGGAAATGTATCCGTCAGTACAACAGTCAACTGAGGAAGGTTGTAATTGGAGGAACGTAACACTGAGGATCATCTGGGGATCACTGGAATTTAATATTAAATCAGAAAAATCTTTAATCAAGAACATAAATGGCTGTTACACAATATTGGATGATGGAGAGTTGTATGAAAACTTGTCAGTGCATCCAGTTTTAGTTAAAATTGGACAAGAACAGACACTTCCCCTGAAGACATGCATGCATTTCTTTGCACATCTCAAGTGTAAATCACTGAATATTTATCAGGACAAAAAAAGTGTTTCGAACAGAAGTTATAAAGAAAATTGAAATACGCATTTTATGTCCAGTCCACTTTTTGCATATATCTTAAGGTTTTTGAGATGATAAAACACAAGCAAGTGAACATGCCAGAATTCTTACACTGTACATAACATTTCCGAACTTTTCTGTTCTTTAAACTTGACATTTCAGTGCAAAGGAAAATTGACTATGTAGAATTAGAACTGTGGCCACTGAAAGTTATGAATGAGGTTTTAACTTTTGTGTCTCCACCACAGAACTAGCCTATCTTGAGATGCTTTGAATGTTTTGTTGTAGTTCAAATATGAGGGTAAAGTAATGTACAGATATACATACAATGTCAGCTGCTGATGTTTGTGGTTGTAATTCTTTCAGAGAATTTGAATTCATGAGAGAGAAGGGAAACAATTATGCCAGTATACAAGTGACATTGTACACAAATGGTGTACAGTAGACTTTTGATTATCCATGTGCATTTAACCACAGGACCTTTAGAACCACTTCAGTACTGATCATTGATTATTGACATTGTCGGTTAGGGGTAACCCCCAGTTACCCGAAGCGCAGGCATCACCGCGACATCCATTATGCATTCCTGATTTCAGAAGGGCCCTGCTGAAAGCTGTCATCTCCAACTATCCAAAGCTAAAGATTTTCGTTCAGTGCCCAGCCAAAGCTAGCAGTTTCCAAGTAAGTGGTAGGAAGATTTCTCCTGTCCCAATTTCCTGCACATGGCTTTATCTCAGAGGCCCACAATGTGAAGGTGCTGTCTTAGTGTACAGTAGTTGGTCAACAGTCTGCACTGTTTCCTGTTCAAAAGTCGGTCAATCTGTAGACAGTTTTTGTGGAGAGGGCCCTTTAATGAAAAGCCCAGTATTGAGAGGACTTCCTCATCTGGCACTCCTTAATATTGAGAGTACCAAGTAATGGTGAGACTGGAACTTCTTGTTCCAGACGAAGAAATGGGTTGCTCAGTCCCTTCATAGGCAAGACATCTTCATCCTCATTGCCTTTAATCCATCTTTGGCTTGGAACTCGCAGAAGTGTTAACTTTGTTTGGGCTGGAGAAGGTAAAACTGTCCCTGTGCTTAACTTGTATGGGGGAGCTGATGTATAGGTCCACATACTTTTGATCTCTGAACTAGTTTGAGGTGAGTGGTGAACTACATGACCCTACTGCATTACCCCATAGCAAAGAGCCCATGGTACACTTTGGATAATAGGGAGGGGGGGGGGGGTTCCAGAATTGGTATGGACAACATGGAGTGGAGAAAAATCTTCCCCCTACCAGAACTTTAACTCTGACCTCTTGACTGCCAGCCTGTAGCTAGTTGCTATACTGACTGCACTATCCCAGCTCCCCTGGCTGGGCGAACATAAATTTGCTGGCAGGTATTGAATGTAGCTCCACATATTGATTGAAATGTTGGCTGTTAACATCTGTTTCAGTAATGTGTCAGTGATGCTTTACAGTAAATTATAGCAGACTGTGCCTTTCACAACTTTCTGCTGTATTCATTGCTTTTTGCAACACCAGCCACTGAACAGTGGTTGCTCTCTTCTGTGGCAAAGATGTATCTCACCAGTCAGTGATCAGCAACACAAGTAAGTATTTGATGCTCAGGGTAGAATACGACATGGATAGTGGATATTTCAAGATTGTGAATTATCCATGCTACTTCTCCATTCTAGTACTTGAGATTTTACTGGACACATTTTTTAAGCCACATTAATGTAACAGACTAAGTGCTTCTGAATTGGCATGTTTTCTTCTTGCTTTGGAACCTGATCATTATCCTGAAAAAAGCGCTTTTTAGACATCCAGGATGACTGATGTACGGAAAATTGAGAAAGTTTTCTACCTCATTTAATATTTATATACATATTAGTAACCTACTTTAAACATGTGACTAGCTGTACCTGGCATAACATGTGCCATTCCATCAGATCTGAAAGGTTATTAATTAAATATCAGTGCATATTATATATTGAATTTAATTTGATGTATTTATTTCTGTGACCTGGCAAATTGGTTTACTTATCGCAGCATCTTTTTCCAGTCATTCCATTACTTCGGTTATACACTCTTTCTTTTGATTTATTTTCAACCGGATTTGTTGCTTTAGTGGAACTGAAAATGTGAAGTTGTACATGTCCTGGCTTATAAGCCTTGTTTGAATATAGTGGTGAGAGAAAATAGTAAATCAGACCATGTATATGCAAACAGTATTAGCCATTTCCAGGTGATTTATTTTCACACCCTTTGATGCAAACACCATTGGTGAGTTGTGCTCTCATATATATTCTCTGTAGTTACTTGCTTTTTGTGTTTTCCCTGTAAGAAGCTCTCAGAACCACCAAGTGGCACTTCATGAGTGATTTATGTATAGCAATTTTTTTCATTTAATATAATTTTTATGTTAACTGCACCAAGAACTCTCTTCTTGCCAACAGTTATGCATCTAGCAGTAGTTCAAGAACCTATGCAAGTATTAAATTTGGGTTACGGAAATTGTTCCAGTGTCTCCTGGAAAATATGTTGATTAGATGTAATACTTATAATGTAAATTTATAACATGTTGAGGTGTGAGGTTGGTGGAAGCAGTTATGGCCTATACTAATAGATCAAGCTGGTCGTGGTGCATGGGGAAACCCACCCCCTCTAAATAACTAACTAACTAACTATGGCCTATACTAACCTGAGATTTTTGTGTATGATATCCGTTTTTGAGGGCAGGGGGCACATGTGTGCCAGTGCTTTGCTATTGTTGATTTTCAGAAACATAATCATAATGATGATCCTAAATGTTTATATAGTTGCCAGTTTAATAAAGTATTTAGAATTGCATATGATAGATTTTGCATACCAGGCGCAGTGCTGAAAAGATGAAAGTTCTCCTTGTGTTTAAGACTGAAACAGTGAAGATGTATAGTTGTATAGTCTTGACATTTGATCAATGTGAGCAGTAACCTTCACAATCAGATCTCCTTACCCCTCAGAAGGCTCCTGGTATTCATTGGATAGGGGCTGGGGAGCTCCATTGTTGGCCCAAACTTTATGCCAAAGTGAAAATGTGGCCCTAATTGGGAATCAAATTCCAGTCATCCAGCCCATAGCTAGTCACTGTATTGTTTGCTATGGGTATCATATTTTATTTGGTTTCTGTAATAGTCCACTATTGATCCCAGCCCTTAACAAGTTAAATCTACGTAGTTCATGACCCAATTACGTTCTTCCCTGAGATAGATTTGTATATTTGCCTCCTGCTCAGCAGGAGTTTTACTGTGAAAGTACACATTTTCCTTAACCCCTTTGTATGTTATAAACAATATTTCAAGGACAGAAACGTGTTTCTTTATGTTTTCCATTTTGATATTCACTGCTTAAAATCGCATTATCTTCATATTCTCCCAGATGCAAAAAATGGATGGTGCAGCTTCCTGCCCTTCACTTTTTACTAGTACTACCAAACTTTATTTGTAGTTGATGCTTAAATATACTTTTGTGAGGCAATAGTTTAATTGTGGAAGATTTCAAGTCCCATGGCAGCTGCTATGAGGATATCCCCTGTAGGATGTGATAATGTGGAACCTAATCAATTTTACCCATGTTTCAGAAGTGACTGTTAGCACTGTTTTCACAGTAAAAGAGTAAGAATTTACCTGACAACGTAATGTTATCACTGCAGACGATACTAAACTGTAATGCAAAGTCTGCCTGAGGGTCAAGCTGATTCCAATGTGACTTTTGGAAAAATGCTGAAAGTTTCCTATAGATGTGAAAGGTTTATGTCATGTAAGCCTAGTGGATCTTATGCAACTTTTTCCAAGAGAAGAGTCCTGAAACCTGGGAGAGAAAAAGCAGTTTGGGGACTGGCATGTAAGTGAGGGTATAATGAAATGGATACTGAAAGAAACGGCCGTTCTGCTGTTGACTGGATACATTTGGCACCCAGTGGGGGCCATTTGAGGGGCTTTTATGAGTACTGTTTGTAAGGTATCGTGTAGTGGCTGTGCCATAGCTCAAGCAGTTAGTCGCTGGCTTTCCACTGCGGTGGGTCTGGTCAAGTGGGATTTATGGTGGACAAAGTGGCGCTGGGGCAGGTTTTCTTTGAGTACTTTGGTTTCCCCCTGCCACTCTACATTCCACCAATTGCTCCACAATCACCCTCAACCTATCGTCTGGGGCTGGTACAATAGGCCAGAAGTGGCCACAGTACAAGGGACTTAGTTCCATCCCCACTAGCAATAAAAAAGAGGTTTTTCTGTATCAACCGATTCTTGCGATATAGCAGAGGAGTGTCCAATCAGTGGCTTAATGGAAATTCAGAATTCTGGGGCCATCTAACTATTGAACTGGGCACTTGGCTTATCAAGCCCCTTTTTTTATTTTATTTTTTTTGTTTTACTTGAAGGTTCGTAACTATGCTCGCAAGTATTTAGGGTCTAGAATTCCACACACATAAACCATATCCTTTCTTGAACGATTTCAGGTCCCGCACTGATCATACCACCCACCGATCAGTGTGTGGTAGATCCGTGGAGACCGTTGACCATGGAAACTAAACAAACGTCTTTCTCATTGATCAAAGGTTGTATCCACTATTATGACGATTATGACTGCAACCATTGAAAAGTGAGAATTATGTGTAATGTGGTTACGCTGGAATCTGTTAGAGAATTTAGGGTTATAACACTTGAAGTATTGATATAGACGTAGAAATTATTGGAAACTGTGGATATCAATACAGGTCTTTGAAGAGGAGAAGCACTTTTCCTTCCTCTCATGAAGGTGAATATAGGTTATGTATGTACTCTCATTTTTATTCACAGGCTTCATCATAGCGCAAATATTAATCAGCAATCAATACAGTGCTCCTGTCGTTGATAACATGCTTGTTTAATAACGAGCGATGAAATCTAATATAGTGCGGTGTGCCGAAAATAAGAAAGGAGATATATCAGATTATCATTGATGCCAACATTGCAAGAAGTTTATCACTAAAGCTTTTACTGTCTTTACGTGCCCTGTCATTTGGTTGGGAATGGAGGCGAACTCTCTGCCGGCGACACAACACATAATATGAAAAATGTTAACATTACTAAATTTAATTTGATAGACTGAAATGTGGCAATGATTAAAATTGTATTATTTGTGAGGGGAGATGTACATTATTGTAATGCCAACATATAATGAGGCATGGCGACATTCCTTTTTTTCTTTTTAATATTGGCAGCTTTAAGGTTGACCGGTTGTCAGCTGATATGATGTTTATGGGGTATTAATGATGTTAGGCAGAAATTATTGTCCAGTGCTCTCAGGTTTAAATTATAGTTGTAAAGCTGAAAATATGTAAATAGACAAAAATATATCAAATTGTGAAAGAATTGATACCAGCAGAAGGTGAAATATTACGTTCTGAAATTCATAAACTTTGTAGTTTTGTATGAATGTGAAACTCTCTGATATTAAGGGAAGAATATGGACTGAGGGTATTTGGACCAGAAAGGGATGAAATAATGTGAGGTTGGTGAAAAATGTGGAATGAGATGCATTGTAACTTGTAGTCCTGGTAAAAGGTTAAAAAAAAGTTAAAGTCCCTGTGCTTAACTATGCCTTGAAGGCGTATGGGGAGTGGATGTATAGGTCCACATTTTCTTAACCTCAGCACTAGTTGTAAGTGAGTGGTCAGCTTCATTCCCAGATAACTTACCACAAAGGAAAGGGCCTCCAGTGCCCATTATATAGGAGGTTGGGTGGAACTCTGACGCTTCTGTCCTCCAGCCCGTAGCCAGTTGCTATACTGGCTTGGCTATCCTGGCTCCCAACTTGTACTCTTGGCCAAATATAATTAGAATGATCAAGTCAAGGAGAATGTAATGAGCAGGGCATGTAGCATGCATTAGGGAGAAGAGGAATGTATACAGAGTTTTGATGGGAATGCCAGAAAAAGAGACTCATAGCAGTACCTAGATATAGGTGGGAGAATAATATTAAGATAGATCTTAGAGAGATAAGATGTACTGGTATGGATTGAATTGATCTGGATCAGGAAAGGGATCAGTGTGGATGGCTCTTGTGAACATAGTAATATACCTTTGGGTTCCATAAAATGTTGGGAAATTCTTGAATAGCCGAGCGACTGGTGACTTCTCAAGATGGACTCAGCTCTGTGGAGTTAGTCATAAACTTCTTAATTATATGTGAGATTATAGGTTCTCATGGGAATGAATATGAAAATAACTCTCTTCTGGGATGTGACACCGTGTAGTCTGGTAGTTGTTGACTGTTGTTGCAGATTACAGTAATCTCATTAATTCTGTTCTGGATGGGGAGGAATTGCACTAGCAGTGGAATGAGTCTGTTATATCTTTATATAAAAGGTGATAAAACTGACTGTAGGATTAATGAGGAATCATTCATAAAGTGCATATAAAATTTTATCTATCATTCTTTTTTTAACACATTGCGGACCGGTTGTTTAAATATTTAAATCACCCTGGGGACCGGGGTTTTTAAGCCTAGCACCCTAACTTGTGCACTGTTCACTTTAAAAATTAATATAAAATCTAATTAATTTTATGAACTAAAATTTTTGGAGAACTCTTACCAGAGATCCTAGAAATGCTTGCGCATGTGATATCTCTTGAAACATTCCCCTTTGTGAAGAGGACACTGGACACAATATTTTGGGGGGCCCTGTGGCCCCTGTTACTGTCACTTTCACTGAGGCTGGCCTCGCTATCAGAAGATGAAGCAGTTGGCAAATCTGATAGCTCATCGGAGAACAAATCTAATATTTCTTGTTCTCCGAGAGAACGCTTTGCCTGCAACTGCTTTCGTCTCTGAGCCATGTTGCGCTGCAAACTTCCTGGTTCATACGTGGAAGCTTGGACTCAAACAAAGGCTTTTTTCATTAGGGTGTGACAGGAAATGAACGTGATCATGTTACTGGCTAAGCTAGCAAACATTCCCGAGGTGAACTACGCAGTAGTTATGATGCAACATGGCCACACAGTGAGATATAGTCGGTTGCAACATAACGCATCAGAAAAGGGTCAATTGGCCCGCCCGGTCCGCAACGCTGTAGAAACGTAGAGGGCCAATTGGCCCCTCCGGTCCTGAATGTGTTAAGTTTATCCTATACACAGGTTAAATTGTTGGAGACCAGGTGTGAGGATTGCAACATAATCGATCAACTGCTGATCACATGTTCTGCATTCATCAGATCCTGCAAGAAAATGTATACATACGGTGGTAAATGGTAAAGCTATCCTGTAACAGGCCATGGAGGCCCATAGTGATGTGAGACGCTGAGGTTCCCACATTTTCTAGACAGTTGGCTCACAGATGGCAGTAAGATTGTCAGCCTTATGCACGAGTTGCTCTTTACCCGCAGGAAGATTCCTGGTGCTTATTTCTGTTAGAGGCTGAGTTGACCCCAGGGTGACTGGAAGAATTAGGTCAGTTGAAAAAATCCACCTTGTCAGGACTTGAACCCATGACCTTCCGGCTTGTAGCACAGTGCTTCAACCAATTATGCTACCGCGTGCCCCACATATGGTGGTACAGTAGATTTCAGATAAGCCTATTATTCTATTAAGAGAGAGGTGTAGTACAGCATTCAGTTCAGTTCAGTGTTGAATTTGGCACATCTTTGTGACTAGTTAATCTGATAGAAGCATATTTAAATGAAATGTGACTCAGGACAGGTTACCAGCCTCACATTTCTAGTGATACAGAGATAACTTTGATATAGAGATAACTTGTCATGTAAAATACTACAAGCAAAAAATTTGTTTTTCTTTGGGACTGAAATTTGCCATTCCACCAGTAATACTTATTTGTTTCAGGTCTGGTGATTTGCAGCTGCTCTTGAACTGAAGTGACATCAGAATGTCACATCTGATGAGACCACCTGAGTCCCGTGAACCTAATTACTCCAATCCTAGGTTCCTGCCCCCAAGTGTGAGACTTCCAATGCAGTCTCCTCCTGCAGGCCATGCAGTACCAGCAAGTTGCTTCCCGCCAAGTTTCCAGTACCCACAGAACATGGTTTCAAACTGCGTTCCACCCATGATGCCATCTTCACTTCCATGTCCAAATCCAATGTCATTTCCTCCACCACCTTTTCGTCCTCAAGGACCCAGAGCAACACCACCCCAACCAGTACCATTGTACAACAAAGCCTCAGCTTCTTACAGTCAACTTTATAATGTTCCCCCTTCATACTCGAGCCCACGCTCTGAAACCCCCTCACAAGTCTATGTCCCACCATATCCACCTCCACCAGTGGCAACAGCCTCCTTCAGTGAACGTCCATCAGCTCCATACTCCATGGATCATGTTCCTACAGAACATCATAATTCCTTCCAGCTATCCAGTGATCCGTGGCACAGTAATGTTGTGGCCACATTGCCCAGCGTTGCTCGCAGCATACCAAACCATTACCAAGAAGGGAAACCAGAGGCTGTGACAACCTGTGGAGGCAGTACCTTGAAGCCAGCAGACTTCTTGGAAGCCCCTTCACACAATAGAGACGAATATCCAAGGTGCCTACCACAAGGAATACCCGCGGATATGAATGATGAAATCGTGAATTCACAATACAAGGACAAAGACAAGAGGAGGTCTGATGACAGGAGTGTCTCTAGGAGTAGCTATGACTGTAGGAGGAATCCTAGCCATCCTAAATATGACACACAGCATTGGGATCGCTTTGGAAGACGGAGAAGTCGAAGCCCACTTCATCGGAGGCGAACCAGAAGCCCATCTAATGAAAGGAGACATTCTAGAGACAGTTCTAGAAGTTCAGACCAAAGGCGTTATACAAGAGATAGTAAGAGGTCCAGGTTCTGCAGTTCCAGGGACAGAGCAAGCAGGAGCCCTGAAAGGAGAAGACAATCTGAAGTTGGTGATAATGAGGTTTCTCTGAATGTAGAACTAGAATCTCCTAGGAACTCAAGATGTTCCAATAGTCCTGACTTGTTGAGGTCTCATAGTCGAGCAAGTTTTAAGCAGACCTCACGCAGTCCTGATTACAGGTCCCTTGCCAGTTCACGGAAGAGTAGCCGATCATTTAGTCCAGAGTCGTTAAATTTGAAGAGTGGTAGAAATTCTTACATTAGTAATTCACGCAAAGAGAAGGCTGCTACTACAGAGCGGGAGCTACTGCTAGAGAAGTGGAGGTGAGTCATCCATTAAACTGGGCCTTAGGACAGTAAGAAATGCTGTTTCAGATCTTCATTATGAAACTGCATTATTTGTTGGCTATAGGTGATCTGTCTGTCATCACCACTTACAGTAATCTCTCATGTAACACTGAACTAAAACGTAATTTCACAGAGCTGAGCCCTTCTCGAGAAGCTGCCAGTTGTGCAGCTACTCAAGAACCTCCCAACATCTTTTGGAACCCCAAGGTTCATTAACGTGTACACAAGAGCACTCCATTGGTCCCTATCCTGAGCCAGATCAATCCAGTCCATACCACCACATTATTAACCCACCTATGTCTTGGTCTTCCTAAGTGGTCTCTTTCCTTCTGGCTTTCCCACCACTATCCTATATGCATTCCTCTTCTCCCCCATTTGTGCTACATGCCCTGCCCATCTCATCCTCCTTGACTTGATCATCAATATAATTAAACTTGACAAAGAGTACAAGTTATGAAGCTCCTCATTATGCAGTTTTCTCCAGCCTCCTATCACTTCACACCTCGTCAGTCCAAATATTCTCCTCAGCACCGTGTGCTCAAACACCCTCAGTCTGTGTGCCTCCTTTAATGCCAGAGTCCAAGTTTCACACCCATACAGAACCACAGGCAAAATTAAAGTTTTCTATGTTCCATTTTTTACGATTTTAGACAGCAGTCTCGTGTGACACTACATAACTTATGTTTTTGAGTAGGTGTAATTACATAATCCTAAGAAACATAAATTAAAATTGCTAAAAACATAGGTATCAAGAAGGAATCTGGAAGTATGTGGGATGAAGTGGAAAATTTTGCATTTAGTGAGGAGCTGTGTGAGTTATACAGATCCTGTAGTACTCTTAGAATAGTGAAATCCAAGTGAGTTTGATGGATTTAGTAGGTAAGATGGGGTAATATGGAATGCATATAGAATTCTTATGGCAGAACTTCTTCAAAAACAGAAATATGGAAGATAAAGGATAGTTTGGGAGGATATTAAAAGTATTCTTAGAGAAATGGATTATGAGAATGGAAAGTGGATGAAACTGGCCCAGGATTATGTATAAGCACATGCTTTGGTATTAGCAGTATTGAACCTTTGGGTTGTGCTGCCAGAGAGTTAGTTACTGAGTAAAATATATTGTAAGGAAATAGGTTGTGAGGATGGGAGCTGGATTGTCTCAGGATTATGTCCAGTGGTGGGCATTTGGTATTAACAGTGTTGAACCTTCAGATTCCATATGAATTAAATGTTTCAATTCTTACTGTATGTGAAATTTCATGCAACTGTAGTTCACGTCATAAAGGTGTATAACTGTTTAAATTGATATTCCGTGTGTCGCTACATCCATGCAATTGTTTCAGAATGAACTATTGTGCAAACACTGCTGAGATGCAGAAGAAACTGGAAGAGCTGGCCAAAATGAAACCAGAAGAAATAGTGGAACATGAGAAGAAAGTGTGGACACGGACAGCGCCAGCTGACCTGTACTATGCACGGGATGAGAAGTAGGTGTCACCGTGCTTGCTTCGGTTCCTCAGTTACTTCCCATTGAGTCACATCTTACATTCTACAAGCCACTTTCTCCCTCTGTTTCTTCCTGTACTCTTTATTTTCCTCTCTCTCTTTTTTCTTTGTTTTTATCCTTCTCTATTCTCTTCTTCTCTGCCTTGTGTAATTTCCTTCTTTCTTCTGTTCTCTTCCCTATGCCTCATGCTCCAGCATGCATATGAACTATGATTCAGTTCTACCCTCTTTTCTCTGTTTTCTTCCTCTTCCTTTGTCTCTGCATCCTTCTTCTGTATTTCACTTCTCTATCTTATATTTTTCTTCCCCTTCTCCTGTTCCTGTGTCTTCTTGTCTGCAGCCTTATTTTAGTCCATTTCTACACCACCTTATCTTCTTTCATTTATTTTCTAACCTTTCTCTTCCCACTGTGTTTTCTCATTGTTTTCCCCTTCTTCCACTGCTTTCTTTTGAGTTATCCTCTTCTCTTCTGTCTCCAGTTTTCTTTCTTCTTCCTGGCTTCTTTTTCCCATATTTTCTTACCTCTCTGTCTCCTAATTTTTTCCTTCCTGTCTTCTCTTCCCTCTCTGTCATCTCCTTCCCAGGCCCTTTTTTTCCTCCTCTGTTCTGTTCCATACTTCATCATTTCCAGTTTGTACTGATGAGTGCTGTATTTACAGAAACCACAAGGTGATGAAAGCGACACCAAGGCTTCTTGCTTTGTGTGAGAGGTTCCACGATGAGCTGGTATCAAGAGCTGAGAAGGTGCGAACTGCCAGGCCAAAGTATGAGCCACCCCCTCGCAAAAACAGAATGCGTCTTGCCAAACATAAATGTAAGAGGCATTTCAGTACATATTGCATATGTGAAATTACTGTAATCAGAGATAGAACATTACACTAACAGACTTACAAGCAATGCATGCATGCTGCATTCCCTGTTCATCTCACTTTTATACGAGGGTAATTCCAAAACTAAGGTCTCCTATGTTTGAAAATATAAAATAAACATTTATTTTCAATTTTGGATACATCAGTTGAATCTTGAACATGTACTCATTTCTCTACATAATCGCCATTTCGGTCGATGCATTTTTGTAGGCGCAGTGGCAGTTTTTGTATGCCCATGTCATACCAGTTCACCTCCATGCTGTTCAGGAAACTTCGAACCTCAGCTTTCACCTCATCGTCGTTGTTGAAGCGCTTTCCAGACAAATGTTCTTTCAACTTTGGAAAGAGATGGTAGTCACTGGGCGCCAAGTCCGGACTATAGGGTGGATGGGTGATGATGTTCCATCCAAACTGTTGCAGTTGAGCGACGGTTTGTCGGGCAGCATGGGGGCGAGCATTATCGTGGAGAATGCTTACGCCCTTGCTCAACATCCCTCTTCTCCGGTTCTGAATCACCCGCCTGAGTTTTCTCAGTGTCTCACAATATCTCTCAGCGTTTATTGTGGTCCCAGTTTCCATAAAGTCAACCAACAATACCCCGTTTCGATCCCAAAACACAGTTGCCATGACTTTACCGGCAGACTGTGTTTGCTTGAATTTTCGAGGCTTAGGCGAAGAGGAATGCCGCCACTGACGTGATTGTTGTTTTGTCTCAGGTGTGAAGTGGTACGCCCAGGTTTCGTCGCCTGTGACAATTGAATTCAAGAAGTTGTCCTTTTCGTCAGCATAGCGGCGAAGAAATTCACGGGAAGAGTCAACTCTCTGCCGTTTGTGGTCTTCCGTGAGCATTCGCGGGACCCATCTTGCGCACACCTTCCGATAATTCAACTTCTCTGTCAAAACCCGATAAATGGTGGTTCGGGAAACCTCGGGAACCGAAATGCAGAGATCATCGAGTGTGATGCGCCTATCCTGACACATGACTCGCTCAATCTTCACGACTCTCATCAGAAATTGACGGTCTCCCAGTTCTTTTTTCGTTGTGTATTGCAGTACGACCAGATTCAAACTCCCTACACCACTTGCGGACGTTCTTTATGTCCATGCACGACTCGCCATACACTTCCACCAATTGACGATGAATTTCAATTGGTTTAGTCCCTTTTGCGTTCAAAAACTGAATAACTGCGCGAATCTCTCACTTCGCGGTTTTAGTAATTGGGAGCTCCATTTCTAATGGCAACCGTGCCAAGACTGAGCGTCCTAGCTACATGCGCGCATGCTTGGTGGTATTGGGGGGAGTGGGGGAAGCAACGAATACAACAGGGTTGCCAACAGCCGCACGAAAAATTACCCAGCGCTTTGGAGACCTTACTTTTGGAATCAGCTACGTAATTTCACTATTTCTCCTTGGTCCTCCTGTCTTGGGTCCAAGTATCTTGACATTATTTTATTCCATAATGATGTCAGTGCCTGTCCTTTGGAGAGAGAGAGAGAGAGAGAGAGAGGGGAGAAGGTTATATTCACACACACATACAAATGAGCAGAATTATAATTATGTGAGATTTACAGTTCTTATGGTGATGGCAACAAAAGTTCTGGAATGTGACGTCGTGTAGTCTGGTAGAAGTACTGACATACTGGAGCAGTACACTGTTTCAGTCTTCAGGCCTGAAGAGTACGCCAAACAAGCAGGAATCACACACTATTTGCTGCTTGCTTGTTTGTGTGTCTTAGTCTTTGAGCCTGAAGATGGAGGTACTAAATTCCCCTGAAACTTCAGTTAACTTCAACCAGACTGCACAGCACTACGTCCCAGAAGTTAGTACACTCTTCTGAATTTTAGGTGTTGCCACTTTTGAGAGAACACAAAACGTTGAGATCAGTGTTCATTTACTGAGTTCCATCTTCACCCTGATAACAGTTCTGCCATAAATTCATATGTTCTTCTTGTCAAATGTGTTTGATCAGCTGAAATGTGCAGTTCAAGTGACAGTTCAAGTGAGGAGAGTTCAACTGATGAGGAAGATTGCACAATGGAGGAACTGGAGAGGAAGCGGCTGCATCCGTACCGCCTCCATCCAGAAATGTGGTACAATGACTCTGGGGAGGTATGTTTCAGATCTTTATTTAATCAGCCTCAGCAAGATATTTTGCTATATTATCTCCATGGAAATAAAATGCCAGTAGAAGTAGATGCAGCCATAAACTGCTACAGAAGGTATGCTTTGAACAGTATTATGGTATTGTCCTTTACCAAAGAAACTTTCATTTAGATTGAATAGAAGCACCACTTACCCTATCAGGCTCACTTTCCAGAATCTTCAAGTCTGTAGCGTGCATATTCAACAAAGTTGTGATTTCATATTGTCCTTCAAGGGCTGGATATGTAGCAGTGGATCAGTCTGCAGAAACTGCAATTATAGATAGAAATTTTTCTGTTGAATTCTCAACAGGTATTCCACTAATTCCTTACCATTCTGTGTTTAAAATATTGCTACTGCCATCTACAGTTAACTTCTGCACACTTGGCCAGCTAAATTCTGTGGTTGAATTCCTACGTAAGGTATGGATATTGTTTGCATTTCACATTGCTCCTAACGAATCTCCACCAGTCATCAGTGCTCTTTAACTTTGCGTGTACTGTACATGGATGGATGTTAACCAGGAAAAGGTATTTCTGTTGGAGTTATTTCCTGTAGTGTGGGTAACCTGGTTCATTGGGATAAAATATGAATAATTATTTTATGTTAATTAAAGGAAACTTTTTAGTGTTGCAATTTTTAACCCTGTCCATGAGAAGTGGGGCATTCATATGACACCTAGCTCAGCAGGTAGTTTTAACAGAGATTTTATGAAAGTTGAGGTTCACCCAAGAGCAAATATTTATTTTATGGTTGTAATATAAGATATCAGTTTTTCAGAGGAATGTGCTTATATATTATTGATTTTTTAGTAGATTAAAAATGAAATCCATTCAGAACAAGTTTGGAACCGTGCAGACTTTCTTAACATTTTGCTTTTAAAGTTTCTATAGTAAACAAGCTGTCCTATATGTGTAGATGTCAGTTGCATTGATAAAACATGGTTGGACCCTTGTCATGATTTCACATGAAAAGCAGTGAAATAGTTAATTACCAAACAACACCAACATTTTGGCCACATGAAATTTTGAGGTGGGGCTGCTGCTAGTGTTTTCAGTGTAAGGTTCAGATGTTTCTCATGATAAATAATATTTGAAAGATTTGAGATTTAAAAACGTTGTTCTGTTTTGACTTATGAATGGGTATTTGTTGTTCACAGATGAATGATGGTCCACTCTGTTGCTGCAGTGCCAAAGCAAGGAGGTACGGCATCCGCCACGGGATCTACGCTGGAGAGGGTCACCTTCCAAAATGTAATCCAGACACCAATAATGCTGACCGCCTATACCATTACCGCATAACCATCTCTCCCCCTACAAATTTCCTTGTAAGTTCCGTTACAGCGGTGTAATTGCTATGTGAGATTGGAGGTTTTCATGAGTGTGAGTGACTATGAATGTTGCTCCCTTCGGGGATGTGATTCCATGTTGTCTGCTAGGTATTTACAGATGTTCCTGGTGGAGCCACCTGGCTTCATCTTCAAAGTTGATGCTGAATGTGGATACAGAAAATTCCTCCGAAACATTTGCACCTCTGTACCAAATTACGAGTACTTGTCACATCAAAGAATACATTAACCTTTAACATACGGACTTTTAAATTGCCGGCAGCTCCCTACGGCCGGAATTTAAATGGCCCTAAGTCTTTAACATTGCAGACTTTCAGAAAAAAAAAATGCATATTTTCCGTTCTATGCAACATCGTAATATGAACTAAAAAGAACCTGAAAGACAATAAAATTTTCTACATATAGACAAAAGGGCAGGTTTTACAAATGAAAATTAACTGTGATTATTTTGTCATGAAATGCAAAATATAATCGTTATTAAATACGTTATGAAATTCTAAAGGAC